AGCACATCAAATTTTATTTGTTCATTCATTTTGAACCTTATTTTCACAATCAAAACAACCTAGCTGGAATAGTAATGCCATATTGTATTTTGCACATTGCTGTACTTCCTAGAGGCTCTGGGAGCTCCTGCATTCATCACTCAATTACCTCTCCTCTTAAGATTAAACAGTCTTTTCAGCAACATTCTTTATTGTCACAAGGAAAAACTTTTATTACAATGATAAGACCAGTTCATACCAGTTTGTCCCTATAGATAGTATTCAGAAATTGCTTTCTCTATGATAAAGAAAATCAATGAAATAGGTAAGTTTTATTGCCTGTGAGTTTCAGGCTTCAGAGAGGTTCTGGCACCTTATCCAAGCAAAAACAAGACAGCTTTGTTTCAAAACGTGCCTCTGGTAAATTACCTGTCACTCTTATTTAAAAGTGGTCCCCCAGAGAATAGTGTGGCACTGTACAGTGTGTGTTTGGTTGCAGGGCAGATAGGAGTAACAGATGACTTCAGAGCTTGCTCTTTACAGTACTCTGGACAAGACCCTAGTCTGGATGGTTTGGCTTCCTCTGAGATGTCATTCTGCAAGTAGCCTTGCCATTTTGAACTTTTCTGAGAAACCTCATGAGTTAGATTGAGAAGACAGGACTATATTTGGGGATTATCTTGTAAAATAATGTAAGAGTGCTGTAGATATGAAGTCATGCATTTTCAATTACACAAAATACCTGTGGAAAACCAGGGATCTTCTCCTTTCTCTCAATCTCTTTCTCTCTCTCTTAGATTCAGGGGGTACAGAATAACCTACAAACAACCTCTTCAAAGTACCCTTGGAAATCGAAGTTTATTTTAAGTTTTTTGTTGTCTTTGCTAGAATTGCCTAATTTTTAGTTGATTTTACAAAGCTGTGGAGGCTTAGCAGTTCATGGAGCTATTTTATTTTTACTCTTTTCTTTGGTGTGCCTTGTAGTTTGTCATTTCTGGTCATGAGTTCTTAACATAGTTTGCTAGATGATTGAGATTCTTTTGTGTCTGACACTTGTGGTGAGTTGTTTTTGAGATATGTGAGATTTCTTTGTGAAAACTGATAATCAGGCTCTTGATCTGCTTCCCTAGATTGCTTTTTTAGAGCCTAAACCCTGGGTTCAGGGTGAGGGTTTGTAATACAAAGAAAAACTTCCATCACTTCTGCCCTTAACACTTGCCTCTGTTATCTAAGCTTAGTAAGTTTTCTTAATATTGTCCAGTGTTTGGTGTTATCTGCATTGTTTTTGTTTTGTTTTTTAATTGTGGTTGTTCTGATGTGTGAAATTTAAGGAAAGAGCCATTTAAAAATGCCAAGCAGGGCAATGTAAGTACAGCCAAATATTAGAGTTGATGTGCAATCTTAAGTCCTTTTTAATCTGGGGTATTATAGGCAGTACTTTAAATTGAAGTCTTCCTAGCCTGTTTTCCTCCACATTTTTGTAATTACTCTGGGGGCTTACTTGTTTTGGCGGTACTAAAATCAAAGGAGCTGGTTCTTCTTTTCTCCCGATTCTTTTCATATTAAAGCACCTGCAATTAGCCTGTTAGTCCTATTCATATACATCAAATATCAGTGAATGCTTTATCAGCACATTTGAACATGTGTTTTACCAAAAATTAGTGTGTGAAAACCAGTGTCCCATTTTATATCTTGTTGAGCTTGTAAAATGTCAATAATTTAGAATTAGGACTTTTCCCACCTTAAATCAAGGAGGTAGAATTATTATTAATGCAAGGGTCACATAAAGAAGGTAGATTTTGTTTTCAACATTTGGGTAGTACTAGAAAGATTCCTCCTAAGGGGAAAAACTAGCAAGCATCACAAATTTTTCTACACATTAGAGGGAGGGAAATTCACTAAATTCACTCATAAGGGGGTGTGGCACTTTTTCTGCTTTTTAGGCCTGAATAACAATATTACCCTCCTTATTTACAAAAGGGCAAACTGACTCTGATTGAGAGAAGCTTTATAGGTTTCCAGGGTTAGTTGTACAATGTGAACAACTTAGGGTTCTTTGCTTTCCATGGAAATTTGGCTGGGCTTACTAGAAAAAAGCTCTTTGTTGTGCTAATGTAAATGTCATACAGTTAGCTCGATTTTTGAAGATGGTAAATGCATGTTGTTCTGAAATGCAGACTTTCAGAATGTTTTTCTTTCAAAACAGGCTGATTAAATATAGGGTCCCCCCCCCCTTTTCCTGACAGTTGAAGTTTCAGCTCCTGTTTAAAGTTGTGTTAGTTATTTTTTCTGGTTTAAATTTCCCTTATATTTCCACCTGTAATGTCAGTGACAACATCATACTTCACCTACTTAATTTACTTCTACCCCTATTATAAAAGTAAGTTGAGTTGAACTGAATATTTCTTGTCCTAGTAATGTATAAATAGTGGCTTCTCTGTACAAAAGGTTATAATGCCTCCTGATGGATATAATTTTGTGATTGTACTTAAGATTAAAAGTTGAATAAATCACACCAGCTTCCTGAAAATGTTCATAATGCATCATTTGGAAAACAAAAATACTTGCCTACTTTTTGCATATTTGCATTAACATGGCAAAGATTGTATGAAATACCTGTTTCAAAAAATAAAAATTCAGTCTCAAAAGACATAGCACTTTAAGCTCTGAATTTATTGGTCAAAGTAGATTACAGAAAACTTAATTTTGGAACATGGATAGTATTTTTTTTTTTTAAAGCAATACCTCCAAAATTTTTTTTTAATAAAATCTCAAAAATGTAATGTTTTACTCTGAAGGTTCTGTTGTAGTTTTGAACAGCAGTGGAAATTTTACTTCAATGGAAAGGTTCTTAATATTACTAAAGCCCAATTTATTAAGCTTAGTTTTGGCAATATTTTAAAAAATAACCTGCAGATCATTATTGACAATAATGTGTATGTATGTATATCCTGGGGTGTGGAAGCTGTGAAGGGAAATAGAAAATGGCCAGTTTGCTTCAGTATCTTGAAGATTGCATTTGTTGCTGCTAGAGTATGTTAGGATTTATGTTAACTGCTTAGTCATCTGGTACATTTCAAAAGATTACATCCTGTTTTTGTAGGACAAAAGAAGCTAAAAAAAAAAAAAAAAAACTACATTAAAGGTAGGTTTAGGCTGATTCGAAGTTTAGTGGAAGACCTTAGGCTAAATTTCACTGAATAACTAAAATTGGAAAGAGGTCTGGAAACACATTCCTTGAGTAACTGCTGAGTTGCTTCTATTTCACATGCCTCCGTTTCCAAAGCTAATTTTGAAAAGGCTTCCTTCTTAAGTTGTACATAGGGAACTTGGATGAAAACCAGAAGTGTTCTGTAGCAAAAGCTGATTTCCCGAAGTGGAAATGTTTTTAAAGCCTAAGAACTCCTTGGCCTTCTCTTTTGGAAATGGATGTTACTGTGCCTCTAGCAAGATTGTGCGTTCAGTGCTGAACGTTTTCCCTAATTATGTGGCTGCTTATTGCTTGGGTCCTTTTGTCCTTAGGTGGAGGAGGGCCTGCTCCTCAACCTCCGTAGCTTTCAAATCTCCCAAATGTCTCTATCAACGGGCTGCTTTTACCAATACAACCTGTTTTTTCCCCAAACAGTTCCCTAAAGTGGCAATTTATTGAAGAGATGCTACTCGCAAAGGCTTTGCTTTTTTTCTCAAGTATTTCAGATTCAGATGCTTGCTTCCCCCCCCCCCCCCAAAGATCCATGGCAAATTTCACACACTTTCGTGAAATTCACAATATTCCTGCCCTTGCCCAGTTTTTTTTACTGGCACTATGTGGCCTATAACTATGTTCTCTCACACGTCTTCATGACTTCCCTGAACTTTTTAAGAACCTGGTAGTTACTTAAGGAAATGCTTTTGAAATAAATTTAAATTCAATGGCATAATATAGGTGACTCAAGGTTGGAAGTTAATTTACCTGGAACAATCCGACCAGGCCAACATTTGGCATGATTTTATTTGTATTGAATAATGGAAATCAAAGCACTTGTTAATGCATTTTGGAATCCCGGATAAAAAAGATGGAGAAGTGTCTCATAGTTCATCTAGTTCCTAAGTAGCTTATGAATTCCGCTGCTTATTACAGGGCTTACATCCTCCCTTAGCAAGACCTCTAATGTAAAGACGGTCCTGTCAAAACCAATTCCTTTTTGCAGAGGAAGTTTTGTTTAGTAACTGACGTGCCCCACAAAAAATCTTCCTAAAGACCAAATATAAATAACCCACTTTTATAAGTCGGTGTATTTTTCACACTTTTTCAAACTATGCCGGGGATCCTCCCCTCCTACCTACCCTCGGCCAAAGTCAAGGCCTTATTTTTACTGGGTAGGAGAGAAACACTGCAGCGAAATCCAGATAAACAGCTCTTCTCGCTTCTCAAAACCTCATGAGGCGGGCACGAGTCACAAATCCGGGCTAAACCGCTCAGAGGCTTGGCTGGGGCGGCTGGTGCAGGGAGGACGAGGGGCACCCGGCTGGGGCGGGGAGAGGGTCCCAGGCGCAGGGAAGACGAGGGGCACCCGGCTGGTGGGGGAGACGTCTCAGCCGGCCTCCCCAACTACAAGGAGGCCAAGTGTCACACGCCCATCTCCGCCCTCCGCCTGACAGTGCGTAGCATATTTCTTCCAGTAGTCAATTTTCCAGAGAGGCTTCTTGGCTGCTTCAGCGGAAAAAGGTCCGAGAGATACCTTGGCAGCCAAGCCTGGGGAAACTGAGGCCAGGTGGCGTCTCCAGCAGCGGCGGTTGAACCGCTTCGGAAAGCCCTGGGCGGGGTGTCGCACATCCCCTGGGCGCTGATTGGTCACCCCCAGGCGGCTCAGCCTCTCTCCTTTGACCTCGATTTCAAGCCATGCGCTGGGCGGCGGTTGGTCCGGTTCCCCTTAAGCGTGAGCTCGATCCGCCCAATGAGAAGTGGGCTTCGCGGGTGCTGTCGGGAAAGGCGGCCGGCCTATATAAGCGGCCTGCGGGGCGTTCCCTGGCGGTGACGGAGTCTGTGTAGTTCTTGTGTTGCGGTTCGTGTCTGGGGGAGGCTGAGCTCGCTGAGACTGCACCTCAGGGGCGATGGCGGAGGGAGATAATCGCAGCACCAACCTGCTGGTGAGTCCCGGCGGCCTGTCCCGAGGGAAGCGAGCGGGGCCTCCCGACTTCGTTGGACTCAACGGGGGGGCCTCCGAGGCCTCGTTCCCATCACCTGCGGCGGGCCTGGCTCTCCTCTCCGGGTTCCCGGCTCAGGAGACTACTCCTGGCCCTCGGACTACTTGGTGGCAGTCACTAGCCTTGTCGACCGCTAACATTCCCTGGGGATGGTACGCCACCGGGGAGGAGGGCGCGTGATTAGTCACCATGAGTAGGGGTTGAGGAAGTGGGAGAAGGGGGGCTGTGACAGAAGCCTGGGGTGCAGCCTGGAGCAGAGGCCGCGAGGGGCCTGCCGAGCGCTTTTGGGGCCCAGGCCCCAGCCGTATCCGTGCTTCTCCCTCTTTGATCTTAACCTGGCTGCGCCTTCGATCTTTGTCCCTTAAAACTTGGGCAACGGTGAAGGGTCAAAGGGCTGCTGCCGAGAAATTCTGTTAGAGCTGGCACAACTTAAAACAGGGGGTGCAAGCTCGCGGGGGGTGCGAGCTCACCGCGGGGAACTGGGAGGGAGGTCCAGCTGGAAGGGCAATGGGAGGTTCTGGCGTTTGTCTGGAATTTGGAAGTTTGGGTTGTCACAGGACGACTGGAGACAGTGAGGTCGTATCGTAGGCGGACAAATTTAATTCATTATGAATTTAACTGCACCATCTAGGCAAGAACAAGAGAGAGATCCTTGAATTTCCTCCGTTGCCCTTCCCCAGGAAAAGGCAGGCCACTCACCAGCAATGAAAAGAATTTAATTTGGGGCTTTTAAATTTCCAAGAGCCCAGATGCTGACGAATTAAGTGACTTAATTCGTCGAAACTGCAGGGCAGTTTTGATTGTGCATGACGTTCACTTTGCATTGGTTTTTAGAAATGCATTGCCTGTCCTCTTAGAAACACCCACACACACCTCCACACACCCACGCACCCACCCACCCATAACCCCCAGCCTGGTTCCTTTTAAGAGGATTAATTGAGGCACAAAGACGTTGCCCAAGTTCTATTGAAATGACAGATCCTGGCCCAGAGCTCCTGATCCTCAACAGAGCGGTGTGACTTTGAGAGCAAGGTCTTTGGTCTTGGATTTCCTGGATTCAAATCTGATAAACTTCGGGTATCTCAGTTTCCTCATCTGTAAGATGTAGGTAGTAACAACACCTTTTTAAGGTTGATGGGAGGATTAATTGAAGTATAGGTATATAAAATGCTTAACAGAGTTCCCAGCACATAATAATCTCTTATTTAACTAGTATGAATGGCAGAAATATTGAGGTCACATGAGTGATCAGTGTGGCATAGATAGCATATTTTTAAAGATTAACCTCCATTGTTCTGTCATTTGTATATTTCCCAGTGATAACATTTATAGGGACACTTGGGTTTCTTGTTTCAATTTTTTCTTTCTTTTCCAAAATCAGCTTAAAGGCTTTTACCACATTAGCTCAACCTAGAGGTCCATTTTCGGTTGATTGTCAGATTTGCAGAGCAAGTTGTCCTCCTGAGTGATAAAAACACTGTACTGAGGAGATATGTTGAGCTTAAAATGCCACATATAATTTGGTGAAAGTAGTATTCCTTAACTGTGCAATGAATGCCAACATCTAAGTGATTCCATTACACCAAGAGCTATTTTAGAAATTGAATGCTGTTCAGGGAAATGCTTTCCTAATGGATTTAGAAGTAAGGGTTTAAATCAATGAAATGACAGAAACAGGTCGATTCTAACCACCTGAAATGAACAAATTTAAAATCCAACTTTATCAGTACTCTGGGTGTTGCCACGTGACTGTGCATGACTCTGGGAAAGTTAGCCATTGTCAGCTCACTTTCTTTAAAACGAGTCTGATTGTCCCTACCTTGCGGAGCTCTGTAAAGATGATGTTACATGTGTAAGTGAAGAGGAGCTGGTGGTTGGACTTGGAAGGTAACCATTAAAGGATAGTTTTTCCCCCCTTTGGTTTCCGTTTTGGTAACAAAATTGCAGTTTTCTGGAAACTAACTTGTTTAAGAGAGCCATTTGGTTTATATATTTGGTGCCTTAGAAGAATTTAACTCTCTGTGAGCCACAAAAATGTTGAGTGGTAAAATGATTGCTTTAAATATTGAGCCAGTTAGCTCAGCTGGTTGGAATGTGGTGCTGATACTACTAGGGTCCCGGGTTTGATCCCTCTATGGGCCAGCTGCCGAAAATAAATAATAAATAAATGTTGATTGTGTGTAGGCTGCAGAGACTGCAAGTCTGGAAGAGCAGCTGCAAGGATGGGGAGAAGTGATGCTGCTGGCGGATAAAGTCCTCCGATGGGAAAGAGCCTGGTTTCCACCTGCCGTCATGGGTGTGGTTTCCTTGGTGTTTCTGTAAGTGAGCTATTAGATTACTGTGGGTTGTACTTGTTATTTATTAATAAAGGCTCAGGTACATGGGCTCTGCTTATGGAAGCTCCTTAAGTCTTTTGTAATACATAATCCATAAAGAATGCCTTTTCTTAACAACTAGCTAGAGCAGGAAATAAAAATAAAAAATAAAGAATGCCTTTTCTTACAAGAGTTTTGCCTAGTTTTCAGAATTTATAGAATTTATGCAAACTTGGTAACCTAATATAGTTGTATAAATCAATGATTCTCAAACTTTTTGGCCTCAAGACCCTTTACACTCTTAAAAATATTGAGGACCCAAAAGAGCCTTTGTCTGTAGATGTTTACATTACTCATTGCAGCTGTGGTGTCATCTTTGTCACGAAGCCCCTGGAAAACCACTTGTGAGAAAATTAGAGAATGGCAGATAACATCTTTGAGAACCAGTGAACTATGTGAATAGTTAAACATCTCCAGCTAGGAATAATGACTGTGTTTTTCTAACCATTGTTAATTTTTTTTTTAAAAAACAGGATTATCTACTATCTAGATCCATCTGTTCTTTCCGGTGTTTCCTGTTTTGTTATGTTTTTGTGCTTGGCTGACTACCTTGTTCCCATCCTAGCGCCTAGAATTTTTGGCTCCAATAAATGGTAGGTGGCATAATGATTTGGCAGTCTAATTTCTGAGAAGTTACTAAACCTGGTGGCTATGATGAGTATGCTGTAATTAAGAGCAGACAGTTGTCTAACCATCAGCCTAGGGGTTAGAGGTTTTTGTTCGTATGTGAAAAATGTCTTAGCTGATTGAGACATAAATCATGAATTTCCAGCACTTACATCTCCATAGTTCTTTTATGGTCTACCATTTATTTGGACTTTTTAAAAATTTCTAGAATTTTTTATTAAAGTGCCTTTTTTAAAAGTAATGTTTTAACAAGGGTTACAGAACTCATGATGAATCTTTTTTTTTTAATTTAATTTTTTTCCAAAAAGTTTTTTTTTTTTTTTTTGGTGGCTGGCCCATATGGGGATCTAAACCCCTGACATTGGGGTTATATGCATTATGCTCTAACCAACTGAGCTCACCAGCCATTCCTCATAATGAGCTTTCTATAAAAGTTGGAAATTTACATGTTTACATTTTCATTGATATTTACTATAATATAATATTAATTTCACAACAAATTATTTTTGAATGAATATGAAAATGGTAACTGGTAGATTTTTATCCACATTCATTTAGCAGTTATTTATTAAATGTGTACTATGTTAGGCACTGTTCTAGGTGTTCTGAAATATTTTGACTTTTAAGACTGATCTCATGTTTAAGGCTGAGATGTTGAGACATTGAGGCAGTGGTAGTTAGCCAACTCTATACCAAGTGCTTCAGAACAGGTTCAAGCTGTATATACAATTGGGCTGTTGATTTTATTTATATCACGCTTTGAATAATTGCTTATGAATTTCTAAGATAAAGTTAAATAGCTAAGGATCATATTTTAAAGTATTTTAATTCTCTCTGGGAGGTTGAATTTCTCACCTTTGATCCAAATAATGAGCTAGATACTGAAATAGATGTTTTTCTCCCAGCTGCTATTTCCCCTTGGTTGTTATTTTAATTTGATTAGTACTCTACTGGTGCTTTTAGTCATTTGTTTCTCAGATGATAACAAATTGTAAAATAATAATGTAAAAATCAGAATTTTAAAAGTGTACCTTTTGGATCTTTAAGAACAAATCTCCATATTTTGGGGGAGTTTGCTTAAATTCTGGGATAATTAAACATGTTTGTTTACCCATAGTAGAATGGATTAGTGTTAGGTACTGTTCTTTGAATTGTTTTTCACTTGCAGTAAGAATTCATGTTTTGTTTGGGGCAAATTTGTGACCATACAGTGTAACAAATTTAATAAAGGGAATCAACCACTGACCTTGACTTTATTAGCCAGATGACATTCTAATCTGTTAATTTGTAACTCCTGGAGGTAAGTTTTCAGAAACAAAAACTGATAGTTGTGTGTAATCAGTTGTGACTCAGTTATTTTTATTTTATTTTATTTTTTTCCTTTTTTTTGTCTTTTTTCGTGTCCGGCAACGGACCGCAACCCTCAGTGTCGCGCCCGTACCGGACCAGGACCGGCAACGGGATCGCAACCCTCGGTGCTGCGCCCGCCCCTCGCTCAGCCAGTGAGCGGGAACCGGTCTGTATGTGGGATCCGAACCCTCGGCGGGAGCGCTGCCGCGCTCCCAAGCGGCGCACTGTAGCAGTGCGCCACTGGGCCGGCCCGTGACTCAGTTATTGATGGAGCTGCAAATTTTATTTTTTGATCCTAAGGGTAAGAAAGAATACTGTGTTGCATAGCCATGATCTAACCTTGACTATGGGCAACATAAAAGGTCTAATTGTTTATAAGAAGTTCCAGAGCTCAGCAGAAGGCCACCTTCCTTATCACTGCAATTTTACAGGGATGAGGACTAGAGGAGGGAAGACAATGCATCCCTCAGCATAGGGCCCACTTAATAGCAGCCACATATCTGTGTAGCAAAGACAGTACAAAGGTAAATTTTTCTTATCAGAACCAAGAAAAATATAAATATAAAAGGCATTCTTGGAGGGGCTTATTGGATTTTTACTGCTATTTTGTTTGTTGATAATATTTTCCTTACTAGAACTAAATTTATAAAGAATTTTCATTTGAGCTATTTATTGCTGCCTTTGCATAAAATGTATGGAGCTCAGGTGGGGGTACTGTGCTTTGAATGCTAGTTAGTTATTATCTCATTGAAGAGTGCTCAAATAATACTGGTGAGATTCTGATGGACTACAAGTAGGATTCATTAGGATCTGAAAAATAATAGGAATAGAGAGACAAGATTTACACTGATTTCTGCATGGTCTATAGAAGTTGTGGGTTGTTATTGGCCAGATGCCAAAAAAACCAGTCGTGAGTCTTTTATTACTATCACTAACCAGATGTGGCTTCAAGAATAGTTTACCATTACTTTAGTATATTAAAAATATTTATACACATACTTTATGTAAAAACTTATTTTACTGATATAAAAAATATCTTTTGGGCCGGCCCGGTGGCGTACTGGAGAGTGTGCCGCTTGGGAGCGTGGCGGCGCTCCCGCTGAGGGTTCGGATCCCATGTGGAGACCCGTTCCCGCTCACTGGCTGAGCGCTGTGCGGGCGCGACATCGAGGGTTGCGATCCCGTTGCCGGTTGCGGTACGGGCACAACACCGAGGGTTGCGATCCCGTTACTGGTCACGAAAAAAGACAAAAAGGAAAAAAAATAAAGATTTTTTTTTTCCTTTTTTGTCTTTTTTACTGACTGGTAACGGGATCGCAACCCTCGGTGTCGCGCCCGCACTGCGCTCAGCCAGTGAGCGGACCGGTCTCCACATGGGATCCGAACCCTCGGCGGGAGCGCCGCCGCACTCCCAAGCGCCGCACTCTACCGAGTGCGCCACCGGGCCGGCCCTAAAAAATATCTTAATAGTGCGTGGACTTTTTCACCTGCATATGGGGAGCCATTGTTTTTTATTTTAACTTTTTTTTAGAAGATAGTTGTTTAAGAGAATGGTATATTTCTGTCTAAAGATTTGCTTATAGCAAAGGTGAAAATTCTTCTTTTAGGACCACTGAACAACAGCAAAGATTCCATGAAATTTGCAGCAACCTAGTAAAAACTCGACGCAGAGCTGTGGGTTGGTGGAAACGCCTCTTTACACTAAAGGAAGAAAAGCCTAAGATGGTACTTTCTCTGCTTTGACTTTTTTAAGTAAAGCAAAATTTGATCTGATTGAGTAATTTTGACGTCATTGTAATCTAAGGATAACCTTTATGTTTTAATAGTTATAGTTTGATATTTATTATCCATTGGTTTAATTCCTAAGTACCTTCATAAGTGTTCATCTGTATTAGACTGAATCATTGAGAGTTAAAAATCACATTTTGCATTTAATTTTTTATTCTAGCAGAGCAAAATATTTGTTTCTTTTTTGTTAGTGAAATAAAAGACTTATACTTAGAAAGAATCTGTTCTTTTATTATTATTTTTTTATTTTATTTTATTTTTTTTCCTTTTTGTCTTTTTTACTGACCGGTAACAGGATCGCAACCCTCGGTGTCGCGCCCACACCACGCTCAGCCAGTGAGCGGGAATGGGTCTCCACATGGGATCCGAACCCTCGGCAGGAGCACCGCCGCACTCCCAAGCGGCGCACTCTTCAGTGCGCCACCGGGCCGGCCCTGTTCTTTTATTTTTCACCTTGACATGGGGTTACTATATGAAGTTATTAATTGAAAAAGTGATATAATTTATATTATAAACTATTTAATTTATACATAGAATTGCAGTAATTCTAGGGAGGGAATGTATCTGAATTCTACAAAGTAGATCTAATGGAGTTTTAATGGGGGTTTATAGAATATATAGATTTTAAAAATCTAGGTATTTTTAAAGAAAAGTCGTAATAACAGCTAAATCATTTTCCAATCTTTGAAATAAACTCTTTTATAATTGACAAAAATGTATATATTTATGGTGTACAACATGATGTTTTGATAAATGTACACAGTGGGGAGTGGTGAAACAAACTCTTTTATACAGTCATTCTCCTTAGTCTGTTTTTGGGAATTGATAAATGGTTGTTTTCATTTTCAGTACTTCATGAGCATGATCGTTTCTCTTGCCATGGTTGCTTGGGTGGGACAGCAAGTCCACAACCTGCTTCTCACCTACCTGATAGGTAAGTCTTTGAGGAAAAACTACAGGCACATTCTGGCCAGTGAAGTCTAACTGTAACTTAGTAAACAGATATGTGAGTACTTACAAGTTGAAGGCACTTATCCATGAACTGTGGGAGTAAAGAAAGATGACCTAGACCCAGGTCCTCATTTTCAGGGAGTTTATAGTCTTATAGGAAGTGAAGACAAAGAACATCATGACCAAGTTAGAAAGTAATGTGCAAGAGGTAAAAATAAGCAGTAATTATTATCTGAGGATGGGGAGAGTATGATAGAAGTTTCTGGGGATAAATAAGAATGCATTCCATATTGCTTCCTCCCATTGGAGTGTCTAACAGTCTGGGAATCTACCTCCTTTAAAATATAATAACCTTAATAACCTTGCAGGCTGGTTAGCTCAACTGGTTAGAGCACAGCCTTGTAACACCAAGGTCAAGGGTTTGGTTCCCAGTACCAGGCCAGCCAGCAGTAAAATATAATCTTCAGGAAGTTAATTACTGCCTCCTTAATTTCGTTTGTTTATTTTTTAAGTGACTTTCGTACTGTTGCTTCCTGGACTGAACCAACATGGAATCATTTCAAAGTACATTGGAATGGCCAAAAGGGAGATAAACAAGCTTCTCAAACAAAAAGAAAAGAAAAATGAATAATGCATCTGCTTTATTCAGTGTGATTAATGGAGTGCACATTGTCCCTGGGAACAGTTTCTACTATGCTATCTGGATACTAAAATGTTAACAGAAGTAGCTCTTTGTTCTCCCTCACTCTGCCCTTAGTTAAAAGAAACTCACACTTGCCAAGTACGGCTTTATGCATAGTGTCTTCGTGTCAGGTGTAGGTGGGTGCATTCTATCAGTTGGCTTTGTACAGACAACTCATTAGTGAGTATGATTTGTTTTGATTTTTCTCACCCAGGGTTAATGAAATTCTTACTTTTGGACAACTTCCTTTAAAATAATATAGTGGTGAACTTTATCCTTTGGTACAGTTAACAGTGACTCTGGATAATTGTTCAAGTTGGTCTTTGCTTTAGCTAGATGCAAGGCAGTGGTCTGTGGCTACAGGAAGCTGGTTCTACTGTCTGCTTCCACAGTCTGCTTCAAAAACTGTCTGGCTTTATGAATATATGAGAGACCAAGTTGACCACTTCTGATGAAGAGACCAGTTAAGATTCATTCCTCATTCCGTTTCTTTACTGGGGGGAAGAATCCCCATGGAATTAATGAAACTAAATCCATGTGTTTCTCCCTTGTGTAAAATAGCAATATGTAGGAAACACTGTTCCTTTCCTTCCAAAAGGGGAATCTAACATGCTTAGAGCTCTTGTCCCATTGTACTCAGACTTCAAGTTAGTAACTCCTTAAAGGCTTTTTAATACCAGATTTCCAAAGGGTTTTATTTAGTATTTTTAGCATACTTTTAATTTCAGATTTTCAGCTGATTTAAAGTACACAGTAGATTAAGACTCATGTCTATGACCTTTACTCCAACACCAGCCAGTAAAGGACAGAAGTCTTCCTATGTTCACCCAAGATTTATTTCATTAGAAAATAATCTTATTCTACTAATTATTTTTATTTTTATTTTTTTTTAGTCATTAATTTTTGAGAGACCAGAATAAGCATTTAAAACTTAAGCCTCAAACTTCTCATTTTATGGTAATACTGGCTGTTTGGTTCTCATAGGTTTGGCATAGGAGATAGTGACTACACTGGTGTCTGACCTTTTCCTTGAATATTTCTCTGAAAAATGCAAGGGCTCTTGGTGAGAGCAGACTTGTGATGATAGCTAGTTGGCCTCTGGTCTACATAGATTTTGTAACTTCCTTTGGAAAACTTATAATCATTCTTTCCCTCTCAGTAGTTAGAAATTTAGAGTAGTTGAAATCTGTAGAAATGAACCTTTGAGGGCCAAAAATGTGACATATTTGGGAACAGTTCTTAAATTGATTAGCTGTAAGATAGTTTTGTGAATTTATTGCACTGATGCTGTAGAACCTGTACCTTGTATATCTGTCCCTAAATAAGTGTCATTTTCTTCCCTTCAATATTGCTGTAAACAGTGGTGCCCATTGTAGCATATGTTTGATTTTTTTTTTTTTTTTCATATGAAAACTACCTTAATTTAACATGTGTTTCCTCATTGTAAATAAGCCTGTCTTTCTACCTGGGTTTTTTTGTGTATACATGTTCTACTGATTAACTACTTTTGCAGTTTATTATTTCTTCTACTTTGATTTGTGAAAAGGGGGAAAAATAAAAAATCTGGAGTCTCTTCTTGTGTCTTATTTTATAACTTAGCCAATATGTTTACATGATTGGACTTATGAGTCTGATTAATGAACTATCCTGTGATCATTACATGCCTATGAGACATTCTTTAAGAACATTACGAAATAAAAGGCTTAAACTTATTCATTCAGCAAACGTCTAGGCACCATGCCAGATGGAAGAGTGGAAGAGGGAATACAATGACCGAGAGGGACCAAAGATGATGTGTGAGAGGACCAAGCTGGAAGAACGGGCAGGGAACAGCACATGCTCAAAAGAGAATGCCTGTATGGGTACTTCTGTGCCTCAGGGTCTAGCTCAGTGTTTGATACATGAGAGGTGCTTAGTAAATAATTGTTGGGTGACTTTCATCTGCACCTTAAGTGCTTTAAAATTAGAGCTCAAAATGGATTTTTTTTTTTTCCTTTTTGTTTTTTTTTCGTGACCGGTAACGGGATCGCAACCCTCATTGTCGCGCCCGTACCGCGACCGGCAACGGGATCGCAACCCTCGGTGTTGCGCCCACACCACGCTCAACCAGTGAGCGGACTGGTCCCTATATGGGATCCGAACCCTCGGCGGGAGTGCCGCCGCGCTCCCAAGCGCCGCACTCTACCGAGTGCGCCACCGGGCCGGCCCATCAAAATGGATTTTTTATCTTTGAGTTTCACTGTCTACACTTGGTGGGTCCTGGGAACAGATTTGATAGCAAATTAAATCCTAAGTTCCGGGCCAGCCCGTGGCTCACTCAGGAGAGTGTGGTGCTGATAACACCAAGGCCCTGGGTTCGGATCCCATATAGGGATGGCCGGTTTGCTCACTGGCTGAGCGTGGTGCTGACAACACCAAGTCAAGGGTTAAGATCCCCTTACCGGTCATCTTTTAAAAAAAATAAAAATAAAAATAAATAAATAAATCCTAAATTCCTCACTCCAAAGAGAATGGATCCTTCTTTGGAGATTCCTGGGGGTTTGGTGATATCTAGACAGGGAAGTCTCAACCCAGGGTCACCACGGGCCTCCCCATCATTGCCTGATGTTTTGAAATGCTGATCTTTCACCATGAAGCTGTGATTACTGCTCAGGTCAGTCTCACCTGGCTGGCTTCCTTCCCAGGCCAGTTCAGCTCCTTTAAAGCTGGACTCCTGCAGTGCTGCTCCTGTGCCAGCTCTGGCCACAGCAGAAGTCCCTTTTCAACACTTGCCCTGGTCCTGCCTCCAGTGGAGATCCTGTTATCCCAGAGTTCACAAGGAAGAAGACCATTTGAAATGATTTGTGCCAAGAAAGGTGAAAGGATTTGGGAGTTTTTTTAAGAGATGATTCAATACCAGCAGTTCATCTTCCATATGTTACCATTGCTTCAACAACTCAGATTATGATTGATCTTGTTGGAAGACCTCTCAGCAGGTTCCATTTTGCCTCCAACACAATTACAAACTTGTAAGGCAATTTGTATAAATGGCCTATTCTACTTCCACTCTACCCTACTTCCCCATTGCAACCCAGCCATCCTGAAATTTCTGTCCATCTCTATACAATTCCATGCTCTTTGAGCTCTTAACTAATGTTAAGAGGGCGCTTGTTAGAAGCCTAGAATACCTATTGCCACACATGCCCTTCTAATGTTTTGGGATCAGGTAGACATGATCAAAATCTCCACCAAGTAATGTAACTAGTGTCATGGACAAGTAACCATTTTTTTTTGCTTTAACTTTTTTTTTTTTTTTTAAAGATGACCAGTAAAGGGATCTTAACCTTTGACTTGGTGTTGTCAGCACCACACTCTCCCAAGTGAGTGAACCAGCCATCCCTATATATAGGGATCTGAACCGTGGCCTTGGTGTTGTCACCCAAGTGAGCCATGGGCCGGCCCTTGCTTTAACTTTTTAAGTTAGGGCAAAAATTTAAGATTGAACTTAGTTTTCTTGTGAAATGGGGAAAATAGCACAAATCTCACAGCATTTGTTGTGAGGATTCAATGAGTTGATCTATAGGAAGCACTTAGTGGCAGTCATGAACTGGTAGTTATCAGTACACTTCGTGACACATCAAATGGCACTTCTCTGCGAAAGCTTTAGTGGCTTCCCAGGCCACCTTTATATTCCCACAGCACTTTATATTGCCATCTTATATGGCGCATTGTCCTTTACTGTTGTTTAGAGTCTGTCTCCCCTACTGGGAACTGAACCTCTTAGGGGCAGAAAATGATAGTTTTCTCTCTTCAGTACTTGGTGCAACACCGGACACATGGTAGGCACTAGTTAGATGTTTGTTGAATGAATGAATGAATGAATGAATGAATGCAGTGTATAAAGACACAGTGGATTTATTTTTCTATTTACAGTAAGGCTCTTGAGAGTAAGTAATTTTTTTCACTTAACTCCCCACTGTTGCTAAGGCCGTCAGTTAAGGTGAACTCCACATTTTTAGTAAACAGAACATGCTGTAAGTGTACAGGGAGCCAGTTCTTCAAGAGAATTATTAAAATAATCCTTTTGTAATGTAAATGACAACTAGGAAGTGCTGTTTCCCTGAGATGTTTAAATTGGGAGCTTTGCTTTCCTGAAGGTTCACCTGTGATTTGAGAAGTGGAGGTGGGTGTGATAGTCTGAGACAGATGCTCCTAGACTTATGATGGGGGTTACTTATGTCTCAGTACACACAAGTAACATTGAAAAATCTTAAGTCTGGGTCTGTAACTAACATTGAGCACTCTGCCAGGTTTTGTGTTAATTTCATTTATACAGATTCTCATTTTATCCTCACAGCAACTTCCCGTGGTTGGCAGTATCATCCCCATTTTACAGATGGGAAAACTGATTTGCCCATTCATTTATTCACCAAATATATATTGAGGGCCTTCTATGTGCCAAATACTTATCTAGAAGCTGTGGGTACTGTGATGAACAGATCTGATCAAATGCCTGCTTGCCGGAAACTTAGTGGTCCAGGGCCAGGACACAGATAATAAATACACTTCCACTACTTCAGGTGGCAAGTGCTATGGAGGAAAATCAGGCAGAGCTGGGGGGAATGAGGAGAAGGCTATGTGGGTGGGTGGGTGTGGCTGAACAGAGAGCTGAGGAAAGCCAGTGACTGAGCCTTCTGTCTAACTGGGGGAGGAATACTCAAATCAGAGGGAAAAGCAAATGCAAAGGCCCTGAGGTGGGGCATGCTTGGAGTGTTTGAAGAAAAGCAAGCCAGTGTTTGAAGAAAAGCAGCGGGGGTGTCAGGTCTGGTGTCCCTGTGCAGGGAGGCAGGGATGACATCAGGTAGGACCTTGTAAGCTTTTGTAAGGAATTTGGGTTTTTACTGAGGGTAATGGGAGCTCTTGGAGGGTGCATGATCTGACTTACGTTTTAAAAAGGTAATTCTCGGGGGCTGGCCGGTTTGCTCAGTTGATTAGAGCCGGGGTCTAACACCAAGATCCAGGGTTAGATCCCGTACCGGCCAGCCACCAAAAATAAATAAATAAAAATAAAAAGGTAATTCTGGCTACTATGTGGGAAAGACACAGGAGTGGAAAGGGAAGAGTGAAGGTGGCTACTGCAGGTATTTTACAGGTCAGGTAACTCGCCTCAGGACATTCATATCCAAAAAGGGCGGGGCCAGCACTCCCTCCCAAGTGACCAGACCCCGGGGCCCCAAGCCTGCCCACAAGTCCAGGCTCTTTCCATTGCCAAACTACAGAGGGTGTGTAATCCGGTTGCCGCCACAATCTCTTCTGACCCTCGTAATAACCTATAAGGGGCAGATATTATCTTTTTATTGTTACCCCCAGTTTACATAGCCCAAATTGGTTCTTGTCCGGGTGCAGAGGAGTTCTTTTTTTGGGGGGTGGGAAGCTGGCGGGTAAGGGGATCCGAACCCTTGACCTTGGTGTTACAACACAGCGCTCTGACCAACTGAGCTAACCAGCCAGCCCTGGAAGATCGCTTAAAAGCCAGTGGTTCCCATCCTAGCCTGTGTAAGAGTAAACTTTCTATATCGGGGAGAGGGGATCTGTCAGTGTAACCATAGGTGGGAAAAGTAATAGAAAAACACAGGGGAAAAGATGGCAAAGATAATAATAGAGAAAATGCAAAAGCTGAATCTAATGAAGAGAGGGATAGTTAGTAAATTTTATCATTATCATGATGTGAATCTTGAATCTTTATATTAAATCTGTTTCCTTTGGGGGGAAAAAAAAGCCAGTGGTTCCGAATCTCGTATATATTTCGAAACACTGGTGGCTTTCTTCCAACTCTGGATTCCAGAACTCGAAAAAAATGTCTGGAGCCCAAATAAATAATTTCTAAGATTTAGGGGCAGTCAAAAAGAAACCATCGATTTAAAAAAAATTTTTTTTTGATTGCTTTGAAATAGTAATATATACACACGTTTCAAAACAAAACACAACACAACAAAAAACAACCAAAAACGTGCAGGGAGAAAAGCAAGTTCCATCCCAGCTCCTGACGCCCTCCCCAGAGGCAATGACCAACTTCTTGTGGGTCCCTCCAGAAATACTATAACTACTCAAGTACCAAAACGTATTCTGAACGGCGAACTATTATTGCAATAAAAATTAGCAGATATCTAGGCCCTTGTCGGTTTTTTTTATTTTTACAGATTAAGTGCTAAAAGGTAGTCGAACCTCCAATTAATAATGCCTTACCTCTATCCCCTCCTCCTGGCCGCACCTGAGGAGGTCGATTCCATCGACTCTCAACTGCCAATCCCTGAGGAGGCTCCGCCCCTTTGTCCAACTCCCTCCATTAGGCAGTTGGTTTTCTTGGCGCGCCTTTAAAAGTCTCGCGATGGCTCGAGTTTCCCATAACTCCGTGCGCTCGCTCCTCCCGTCCTCTTTCCGCCATCTTTCTCTGCCGGTGAGTGTCTCTTTCTTAGAGCTCCAACATCATCTGTCGGCTATCGGCGCCATCCAGCAATCTGAGGCTCAGCTACGGTGTTCTCCGAGGACGCCGAGACCTTCCTGGTTCGGGGATCCTAGCCTTGCGGGAGTCCG